TAGTAGTAGATGCAGGCAGGAGTCGGTCTACTTGGCTCGGACGTGATGCCTATATACATGATCATACCTAGATATTCTCATAACTATGCTCAATTCTGTCAATTGCTCAACAGTAATTTGTTCACCCACCGTAGAATACTTATGCTCTCGAGAGAAGCCACTAGTGAAACCTATGGCCCCCGGGTCTATCTTTATCATATTGATCTCCTACTACTTAGTTATTTTCTTTGTTATTTACTTTGCCTTTATTTTACTTTGCATCTTTATCATAAAAATACCAAAAATATTATTTATCATATCTATCAGATCTCACTCTTGTAAGTGGCCTTATAGGGATTGACAACCCCTATTTGCGTTGGTTGCGACGAGTTATTTGTTTTGTGTAGGTACGAGGGACTCGTGCGTAGCCTCCTACTGGATTGATACCTTGGTTCTCAAAAACTGAGGGAAATACTTATGCTATTTTGCTGCATCATCCCTTCCTCTTCAGGGAAAACCAACGCAGTGCTCAAGAGGTAGCACGGACCCTACGGGTCTTGTCCATCACATCATTATCCTAATACAACAGATGTCTATGGTTAGGAAACTTAACCATCTTTGATTAACGAGCTAGCCTAGTAGAGGCTTACTAGGGACACGGTGTTTTGTCTATGTATCCGTACATGTATCAAGTTTCCGGTTAATACAATTCTAGCATGAATAATAAACATTTATCATGATATAAGGAAATATAAAATAACAACTTTATTATTGCCTCTAGGCCATATTTCCTTCAAAATCATCATCGGAGGCCATCTTCATCATCCTGGCGGTCTCCATGATGAGGAGGGAGTAGTTAACTCTCGGGGCTGAGGGTATGTACCAGTAGTTATGTGTTTGATCGCTCTCTCTCTCTCTCTCTCTCGTGATCTTGATTTGGCACGATCTTGATGTACCATGAGCTTTGTTAATATAGTTGGATCATATGGTGTTCTTCCCTCTCTATCTTTATTGTGATGAATTGAGTCTTTCCCTGTGAGGTTTCATTATTATCGGATTGAATATTTTGGATTTGAGATCACTTGATGTATGTCTTGCATGTGTATACTCGTGGTGACAATGGGGTATTATGTTGAGTCACTTGATATATGTTTTGGTAATCAACTTGCGGATTTCCTTGGTGACAGTGGGGTAATCTAGGCACATAGGTTGATACACGTTTTCATCCTACTTTCTCTGATAGAAACTTTGGGGTACTCTTTGAAGTTATTTGTGTTGGATTGAATGTTATGTATCTGAAGTTGTTTGATACATATCGAATAATTGACTCACGAATACTTGTGGTGACATTGAAGTATTTATGTGACATTAGAGTTGATTGATGTGTATCATATGGTGTTATTGTAGTACGAACTCTAGGGCTATTTGTGACACTTATATATGGCTCAATAGATTATCGGAAAGATAACTTTGATGTCGTTCGCTACCTACAACAATTTCACCTTATATTCTCCGCTATTGATAAGAACTTTGGAGCGATTCTTTGTCGCATGTTGAGGGATTGTTATATGATGCAATTATGTTAGCATTGTTGAGATATTGCACTAGTGAAAGTATGAACCCTAGACCTTATTTTTAAGCATTGATATACCGTTTTGCTCATTGCTTGCTACTTGCTACCTTACTGTTTTTATTATTTTGGATTATAGAAACCTATATCTACTATCCATACTACACTTGTATCAATATCTCTTCGCCGAACTAGTGCACCTATACAATTTACCATTGTATTGGGTGTCTTGGGGACATAAAAGATTTCTTGTATTTGATTGCGGGGTTGTTGGAGAGAGACCATCTTCATCCTACATTTTCCATGGATTGATAAATCTTAGGTCATTCACTTGAGGGAAATTTGTTGTTGTCCTACAAAACTCCGTGCTTGGAGGCCCAAAAGAGTCTACAAGAATAAAGTAGTGTAGTAGACATCAAGGACGCCTCCAACGATGAGCTAGCACCACCCTCCTCTTCCTCCGTGGCACCCTCCTCCTCCGCTCCACCCTCGCTGGTGCATTGCACCATCACCATCGGCGAGGCCCGTTGCCCATTATACGGACATGGTGCGGGAGGAGCGGGAGGACCGGTTCTGGGTGACGCGGGCCAACACCAACTACAATCACAACCTCCTCCAGAAGTATCTGCAGGCGGAGGAGCAGGTCGTTGCCAGCAGGGCGGTCGCGCCGGACGCGGACCTAGCGGAGCAGGAGGCACTGCTCGAGTCCTACCGCTTCGCCCATGAGATCCGCATCACCCGTTGGCGGTACCGGCAGCGGGTGGCAGAGGTGGCAGCCGCCAACAAGGAGTGCGACAATGAGGCGGGCGAGACGTTATTCGGCGACATCAACGACGAGGATGTCGAGCCCGGCGCCACGACCACGACGAAGTTGGCATGTCTACGGGCGCCGTTGGCAGCGAGGAAGAGTAGTGCATAGTAGGTCGCCGCCGCTCGTGTCCCGGGAAGGCCACGCTCCTCCCCTCCTGTCAACGCCAAGCTTGGTGGGATGAGCATCTTCGGCCGATTAGTCGCTTGGCGGCAATGTGGAGGCGGACTGCTTCAGTTCCTGGGGCTCCGGGGGCGGAGGTTACGGAGGCGGAGCTGGAGAGCGTCGAGGCGGAACTGAAGATGGTGAAGTTTCAGTTCTCGGGGCTGATGATCAGACACGGGGACCGGACGCCGGCGATCATTTAGATTAGGTATTAATTATACCCCAGAGCCCGCCTAGCACCGCTTTGATGTATTTGTAATGAAATCCGTCATGTTTACATGAAATCCGGTCGTGTTTATATAAAATCCGGACTTGTTTGAATGAATTTCGTCCGGTTGGTTCATGTTGTTGTGAAAATGTATGCGGTTACCGTTAGATGGCTGCCTCTCGCATCTGTATCCACGAACGGATGCGGGAGGAAATTTGCGGGTTGCCGTTGGAGATGCCCTTACCTAGGATAAAGTTAATCGGGGAAATTTACTACTCCAGCAGCCTGCCTCAGCAAATGAAAGATAGTTCTTTTTGATGGAAATCTCACTTAAAATTGCTACCAATTTTCAACGATGCTACACTTGTGTCGTGGGATCCGGTAGCACCGCTCTAGTGTGGCATGATCCATGGCAAGAGCAACCCCTCAGGCAAAAATTTCCAAAATCTCTCTCTTTTGAAAACAATGGTAAGATCTCTTTAGCAAACATTGGAATCAGCTCTTCAGAATTGTCAGATAATTTTCAAACCCCCGTTTCCGCTCAAGTATTTGAGCAATACAATGAGATGAAAGATTTAGTTCTTCAAACATGCAATCCTCCTGCCAAGGATAAATGGAACTATAAGTGGGTTGTAACTGGATACTCCTCAATCAAAATGTACAACCGGGTGAAAGGGAAATATGTTGCCCACATTATTTTCAAATGGCCTTGGAAAAGTGACAACAGAATTAGGCAAAAAATATACGTATTTTTTTTGGGTGCTTCTGCATGACAGAGTCAACACTAGAAATTTGCTGAAAAGGAAGACATTCTACTTTGAGTGCTATGATTGTGTTTTCTGCAACGAACAAGCTGAAGAGACCTCAACGCACCTCACTCTTTTGGGATTGCACATTCACTCGGGACAGCTGGCTGGCCCTATTGCCCAATAAAAGAAGAGGGATATCCATGTTGATGAAGTAATTTAAATCTCTCTTGATTTCCCTAAAACAGTTGCCATGGATATAATAATTTTGGGATTCTGAAATATTTGGAATCAGAAAAATGGCAAAACAACTAGAAATGAAGTGCCAAGTGTTAACACCTGGAAACATTTACTCAAACAAGATCTGATGCTTCTGAGACATAGAGTAAAGAGCAAGAATGCAGGGTGTTAGGAAGGCTGGATTGACACCCATCTATGATGCTGGTGCCTCTTTTTGTGATCTCTTAATCTGATTCCTATGTTTCCTAAAGCTGTTTCTCTTTTCAAAGGGTGCTAGAGCTGGTATTGGATAGGACATTTGTTTGGTTTTTCTTTTTGCTTGTAAATATGTAGTGGTTTATATTTAATTAATGTATGAAAATACCGTAGAACAACTTCTACGGTTCTGGGCTTCAAAAGAAAAGGAACATCAATCCATGGACATATACATATAGATAAAGATAGATGGATGGATAGATAATGTTTATCCACTGTTATGCTTGAATAGATACATCACTTTCGTTTGCCAGAGCTTATCTGGCTTGATCCACGTCACACACGATGATCATGTAAATGTAATGGGAGCGATGATGGTGACAACGACCACGGATCCATGGCACCACACCAATTTACTAATTTACACATGAATTGATTGAGAATGACCGGCCACTTGAACAAGATTTTTTTTAGTTTCCCCTTTTTATTGATCAGCAAACCAGCTCAAGTCATGTGCATAGACAACTACTAGTAGATCACACTGATTGCTCATATCTGCTGACAAAAGATGGTTATGTTGCAAGGCAGGTCAAATTGATGATACTGAAGGATTATTATGGTGATGCTAGTTCGACAGCCATTGCCAGGCAATCTGAAACCATGCAACATACTCCAGTACTCTAATTCTTGCTAGAAAGGAAATGACCAAGAACTCCTCTAATTCTTCGTAGCAGCTTATCATATGAGAGAGAGAAACATATGAAGCAATCCAGGACCGATAACCGGGGAAAGAAAAGGCTACAACATGTGACATAACTTCCATAGTTCCATAACATTTGCCAACCAACCACTCTTGGTTCGGCATTTCATTTCCAGGGATTCAAACCCGTCGGTTTCGGCGGGGATCGCTCTGTTCAAGGATACCTTAAGGCCACCCCCGCGAAAATTAGAGGGGCCTTACAAGCAGCAGAAACGAAAAACAACAGCGGCGCGCGCGGATCAAATTTACACATCGGAAAAAGCTTGCAATGTACAACTGGGTCTATTGCAGCAGTGGGTAGGATGAACCTGAAACTGCAGAAGCTGTTATCACCTCACCCTGCACGCCGGCACGGCAGGGGAGCACTTGGGGTTGGGAATGGCCCTGCAGTGGACGCTGTTTCCGGTCAGGCTGCGGCGAACTCTATAGTCAGGGAGGCCACCGGCTTGAACAATGGCTCCATCACTCCCACCGCCACTCTGCAATGGCTCGAGCGTCTCTACGACATCGCTCATCAGGGGCCTGGCCTTGGGGTTCTGGCTCAGACAGTAGTATGCAAGGCTGCAGGCCTTGTGAGCTGCTCTCACTGAATACTGTCCCTCCAGTTTTGGGTCGATGATTTGGTGAAGCCGCCTCTTATCGCTCAGCTTGGGGCGAACCCAGTCAACCAGGCTGTGCTCCCTGCTTGCCCGGGATTTGTCGATGGACTTCCGCCCTGTCAGGAGCTCGAGAAGGACCACACCAAAGCTGTAGACATCACTTCTAGCTGTCAAGTGACCTGTCCAGTAGGTATATTCATGAGGTTGCCAGGAGAGACAAAAAAGTTACATGCATTCTTGCGTATCGCCTCGAAAAATAATTTTTTTACAAGGTAAAAAAACTATTCCACATAATACATGATATATTTGTGCGTGATCTCAGATCATGCAGTTTGGCGGTAATGGCATTGTGGCATTATTAAGCGAATTTATTTACCAAAGATATTGTTGGAAAATGAGGGTAATACCGGTCATCACATATTCAGGGGCGGCATAACCGTATGTTCCCATCACCCGTGTTGATACATGGGTCTCATCACCTTCTGGGCCAGCTTTTGCCAGGCCAAAGTCTGACAGTTTAGCAGTATAATCCTGTGGCAATGTAAATAAGAGGCAAATGTCATTATCACAAACAATTAGGTATTTCTGATGGATATGCAAAGAACTAAGAAGAAAAAAAGAAACATGGCAAGTAGCCAAGTATGAACACTCAACAGAGTCCAGCAGAATATTTGAGGTCTTGAAATCCCTGTAGATAACAGGCCTTTCAGCATTGTGGAGACAAGCCAACCCTTTGGCAGCTCCCAGTGCAATAGACATCCTAGTTGCCCAGGGTAAGGGAGTAGCGGTCTCTGAGGGGGGAAACAAGAGAAGGAGTTAGCAAAACCTTTTTCGCTGTTTCATATACAAGTTTAACCCAAAATAAAAATATAGCTCATACAATAGGAGAAAGAATAAACTAATAGGCAATTTTTGCAATTTGGATATAGCTCGTAAATAAATTTTCAAAAAATACACAACAAACAGACCAGATTCAGGCTTCAGCTGCAGAAGTGAAGCACTGGCAGTTACATGTGGAAATTACTAGTTTACTGGATAATCTCTAACACAAATGCTGATGATTAAGTTCAAATCCTGAACTGAGTCTACCAGTATCTGTTTCCAACAAGCCGAAAGCTGATTTTATATGCCAAGCAGAACTTATTAAGCTATTCTAGATCAGGGAAGATACAGAGAACTGGGCATTGCTCACTTGGCTACATGCGTGAGTGTATAAAAATGCCTAATGCTACATGGCAATGAAAAGTTACATCACACCGATATACTGACAAGAAAATAATATACTTCTATTATCCACGTTGTGGTCAGCATGACGATGGTGTTGATCGCATTAGAGAAAGAATCGGGGGAATATATGTAAAGATATGGCGCCACAGAAATTCTTTTATGATATCATGTGAGCTGCCAAGAGTAGTAGATGTATTACTTCGAAACAAGTGGTTTTCCAGACTTCCTCGAAACATGAACTCATAGACAAGCAGCCTGTGGTCATCTTCACAGCAATATCCAATCAACTTTACTAGGTTTGGATGTCTTAGCTGCCCCAAGAAATTAACCTCAGTCTGACAAAGAAATAAAAAATGAGTAACACATTGAGAACTTTTTAGGAAAAGAAAAACAAAGAAATGACTTAACAGGGTAATAATATGACCAAAGCCATTGAACACGGTTTCTAAAAAACAATATGATAACCCTGGCATCGTTCTTCATAGTTACATACGAAATCAGTCTCTTTGGTTGGTGTTGTTGCTTGTGCTGACCATAGCACTATTATGTTTCCAAATCCAATACACGATAATGAATGCATGATTTTAGTAACTACAGGCACGACTCGGGGGCTACGCTTATTTCATTCACATGCACGATAAAAATAACCTTTTTCAACTTACGAATTTTCCAGTTTCCACATTCTGAGTAAATTAGTTACAGTAATACATCTACTACTCTCAATTAAATGTATACTAAAGAAAACGTTTTTTGTCATTTTTTCATTTTAGTGTATAGAGAATTATCCTGACCAGGCATGCTAATTTGCATGATATTAAGAAAATTAAATGTGCATGGAGTTCTCAATAAGGTTTCTTATGTGCTGGTGCTGCAACACATAACATGCATAACTAGATATATCATAGTTCTTGTAATAATTATTAAATTTTCAGCATGCCAATGTACATCGTAAACACTATCAGGCATGACAAAACGGAATAACTTGGTTACTCACTAGCCATTCTCTGTGCCCTTGATGTCCATCTTTGTTGAGCACCTTGACGGCAACAGGCAGTGATTTCAGGCCAACCCTGACATTCTCATCTATGTAACCCTTGTAAACAGTCCCAAAGCCTCCTTCGCCAAGAACATAATCGGCCCGAAAGCTCTTTGTGATTGTTTCAAGCTCAAACAACGTGAATGCAATCACATTGTTGTATATGGAAATGTTCTTGGCATCTTCGATTTTCCTAGGTGTTGGAGGGTCACTCACATCTGATGAGGTGCGGGTGTGCTTCCTATCTGCAAGAGCATTCTTGTCGGAATGTTGTAACAAGTGGACTTGCTGAACTGAAAACATACCATTGCAATGACAGAAAAATAAGTTCATGTTAGTGCCATTTATGCATCAGTTGGATAAACTAAAAACAGACTATCACATTAAAAAGGGTAAAGCATTACAGATCTAATACTTAGTTTTATAAAGAAATCATAAACCATGGAATTCAAGAAAAAAAATCGAACTCACTCATGTAGTACATAGAGCTGAGTGAAGGTGATTAGTTTGAAAATTACAGAGGGATTGGATTATCAGCAATATTATTATTTTGACAGGCATAATTAAAGAGAGAAGAAAGACAGTTAAGTCTCATTCCCAAGCGCATCAACTTTCTACATTAGCAACTCTGTAAATTGTAAAAGTAACATGAAGACAAGTGAAATGAGAGCAGGCCATTGAATGCTGGCTTGGACTATGTTTCTGAGTATAAGAGAGAGAAAAAAGATTGCACACGCGCAAATTAGTTACAGCAAGGGGTAAACAGGACCACCAGATCTACTACACAGTTGCAGATTGCTTTTTAAAAGGCAACTTGGTACTAGAAGAGATTATGTTAACCCAACGTGCAGGATCATGGCTTTCTTTTTTCTGAAAATCTGAAAGTCAACAGTACAGAGTGAGGGAGGGCAGAGATTGCAGCCGCCTCCAGTTCCACTGGGGCAAGGGCCTGTAAATATTTCCCAATGAGCTCAATGAAGCAGGATTTATGATGCAAGAACAAAGAAGATAAGGAAGGTGAGAAGAATGCCAACTTGGGCAGCAAATGCAGGAGGCAAGAAACCACGGTTGAACAAAAGTTGATACTCATATCAGAGGAGAGAAATCAAATGGGGATTCAAGACACCACAGTTCACGAAAAAAGAAGATAAAATTGGAGCAAAAAATGCAGATTCTATACCCAAAACCCCCCGTTCGAATACAGAAGAAATATTTGTCAGGACGAAAGTTTAGATTTCAATCAATCAAAACCCTCTTCCGCAGTGCCGATTCGGAACAGGCCCTAGAAGAAAGAAAGCCCGAATTCGCCGCACAAGTCACCAGCCGGAAGATCCTAATAAACCGGACGCCGTCACAAAAATCGAAGCAAAGAATGTTCTTCCGGCGATTCCACCAGGAATTCCATAACGCGGATCTCAGGACCCACCGGCCCCCAAAACAAGCATCGGCAAGAAATCCCCAACCCGGCGTCGGGAAGGGTGGCTAAGGAGGAACAAGCAAGGACCTTGCGCGTGCGCGGCGACGACGGCATTCTCCTCCCGCGTGCCGCAGTTCCCCATCTCTGCCCTCCTCGTCTCGCTTGCGGTGTGGTGGTTGGCGGGGCTCTTGTTCCTCTGCCGGCGGTGGCCCAGCCTCTCATCTCATCCTCGGCGGGCCAGCGAGCTTCATCCTTGAGGAGAGGAGAGAAGAGAAGAGAGGAGAGGCAGCGGAGAGGTGTGTCCTCTGGGGAGCAGCGGAGCGGATGGCTGTGCGAAACAGGAGCCGGCAGGAAGGGGAGGCACCGGCGGCAGAGCCTTAACCGTTACTCACTTGTGACGAGTGACAGGCAGGACTGATGAGTGATGGGGGAGGGGTGGTGGCCGTGGCCGTGCCTGTGGCTGTCCTCAAAAAGTACCACCGCCATTTAACTTCATTTCATCTTGACATTTTTTCAGAGAAGTTCATAATGGGTTGGTGGTAGCTCGCTTTTTCATATTGCTGAACTTTTGCAGCCCAATGTGGTACCGGTATGGAGGAAAAATCTTCAGAGATTAATAACCAGGAGATGCAGAATTAGTCTCCATCGTAGAAACAGGGTCCGTAAACAGTTGACTTGGTGGATTTGTTTGGGAATCCGGCACCGTGTGGTACAAATGTACGAACCGTGAACAGACGGATCCACCGCCTGCCAAAAGATTCCTCTTGCTCCGGAACAATTCTTTCACGAGTGAACAATGCTCATGGACTTGACTTGACTAACAAAAAAAAAAGAGGGTTTACAGTTCTTTGGCAAGTGAACAATAATGATTTACCTGCCATTTCAACAGACAATCTTATTTGTTTATAGTCTCAAAACAAAAGGTGTTGCGCTGGAATCACATTACGTGGCTTTGGGGAATCCAGCTACAGAAGAAAAGGGAAAGACAACGCTTTGATCTTGCATAAATAAATTATAGGAATTTGGTTTTAGGAACAAGTGGTAACCCTTTTCCAACCTTATGGTACAACCGGAGAGCGGATGGGTAAACCACTTATTGAACATGATTTATCAATCTATGATCATTGGATACCGAAGGTTTTTTTTTTGAAAAACCCCCCACACATTAATCAATTAATAATGTTATTACAATCGTTCATTACAAAATTCACCACACAAGGCGGAACGCTATTAAGAAGAATCCCATCAGATTTACTTATAAAGCTAAACTTCGCAATTTCATGAGCCACCTTATTAGCGTTTCGATTAATTTTCGCAATTTTAAAATTTTTAAGCATCTTCGATATACTCAAGGCTTCTTTCTTCAGATCAATGAGCGAGGACCTGTCAAGATTCTCATTTGCAAGGAAAAACGGACAAAAGCACAACCAGTCTCCAAAATAATGGACTGTGAAGAGTAATACCTATATAAAGGCCTGCGAGGCAAGCACGCAGCTCGGCTTCATTCACGCTGTAGCACTGACCCAGAAAGTCTGGCGAAGATATAATAACTTCGCCAGATGAGTTCCTAACAACCACTCCCACGCTGGCCGCATTGATACTCTCTACATAGCTGGCATCGACATTGATCTTGATATAATCTTCTGGTGGAGGTTTCCATCCCACCTGTTGTTGTGATGTTGCGAAAACTGTTGTAGCACCTCCCAATTCTCCTTTACCTTTGTTACTAGGAACAACCTCGACAGTGTCGTGGCAGGACGTAAAAGAAGACCAATAATTTACCACAAAAATTGCAGAAGCAGCAATGGATTCCTGCCCTTTTCCAAAAATTAAATCATTTCTCAGGTGCCATGCTCGCTAGAAAAGAAACAAAACTTGCTCTCGCTGTTGCAGGCTTAAATGATCCAACAGAATCAATAGTCAATCTGGCCCCGAGAATTTGAACCACTCTTCATCAGGAATATTTCATGATTCTCTCAAGGCGAGTTGCAGAGCACGAGCCTTAGAACAAGTAACGAGAGCATGAAAAGTGCTTTCATCTTCTACTTCGCAAATAGAGCACATACCTGAAGTAATCTGATGGTGCTTAACTCTATTGGTCTGGACTGCCAAGCTATTGGTTGCGGCCCTCCAGGCAAAAATTCTTATATTCTGAGGTATATTAGCCTTCCAAATTAAATTCCAGAGCCTTCTTTCTCCACATGGATCTCCACTAGATTGACCCAATTTATCTTGACTATCCTTCAACTTAAGCGCTAAACTGTACGCACTTTTAACAGAAAATATATTGTTCTTCTCATAGTGCCACGCAATAAAATTCCCATCCCCATAAGTATGAATACGAATCTTAAGAATCTCCTCTGCATCATGGGGATAGAAAAGGTACTTAATCAAATTTTCATCCCATACCTTTCTCCCGCTCAAGAACAAATCAGAGACCCATCTCAATCTAGTATTATGCCTTTTAGCTAAAATTTTAAGGCCAGTGCTCCTGGATAACCAATTATTCCTCCAAATATTAATACTAGATCCATTACCCACTCGCCAAACGACACCATTTTTAAGTAATTCCAGACCATGCATAATACCTTGCCAAGTGAGTGATGCAGAATGAGGAAACACTGTATCAAGAATATGTCCCTGAGGGTAATACTTTGCCTTCATCAGCTTAGCACACAACAAATCCGGATAAACCAATAACCTCCATGCTTGTTTGGCTAAGAAGGCTTGGTTAAATAATCTGAGATCCCGGAATCCCATACCTCCCTTACCTTTAGACCTTGTTAATTTGTCCCATGCTAACCAATGTGTTTTTCTTTGATCTTCCTCATCTCCCCACCAAAAATTCCTGATAATCTGGGTTAGCTCCTCACAAAGGGAAGCCGGGAACTTAAAAATACCCATAGCATACATAGGTAGAGCTTGAATAACTGATTTTATTAAGTCTTCTTTTACCCCACAAGAAGCGTATTTCTCTATCCAGTCAAAGAGCCTTTTCAAAACCTCTTCTTGAGTAGATTGAAACTTACCAGTTTTCATTCTTCCCTCAGGAACCGGAAGTCCAAGATATTTATCTTCGAACCCATCGACCGTAATTTTTAAGATTACCATTATAGCCACTTGATTCTCCAAACTACACTTTTTCCCAAACATCATGGAACACTTATCAGGACTTAAAAACTGCCCGGTCCCTTTCTCGTACTTTTAACGACAACTGCTTGATCAATGGAGCCTTTGAAAAATAACATATTGTCGTCCGCAAACAGCAAGTGAGAAATACCTGGGGCTTGTCTATTCAAATGGAACTCCTGAAGAACTCCCCTGGTAGAAGCATCTTTAAGAAGTAAAGAAAGTGCCTCGGCAACAAATAGGAACAAATACGCGGATAAAGGATCTCCCTGCCTGAGCCCCCGAGTAGGTGAAAACGTCTCCAACAATTGTTTGTTGAAGCGCGCTGCAAATTTCACTGATGTAACACATGCCATAATCCAATTTATCCACATCAGTGCAAAACCCAAAGCCCCCATCATACATTGTAAGAAACGCCAGTCCACCCGATCAAAGGCTTTTGCCAAGTCCAGCTTATATGAGCAAAATTCCCCTCTGAAATCTTTCAGCGTACTTAACGAATGCATACATTCAAAAGCTATGATAGCGTTGTCAGAAATTAACCTTCCCGGAATAAATGCACTTTGACTAGGCGAAATCATACCATCAAGGAGCGGTCGCAGTCTGTTAACAAGGCATTTGGAAATGATCTTATAGATAACATTGCACAAACTGATCGGCTTGAACTCTTTAATAGACTGAGGATTCTTAACTTTTGGGATGAGAACAATAGTTGTGTTATTAATCCCCTCTCGCATAATTCCAGAATAAAAAACTGTTGGACAGCCTTAACAATATCCTCTTTGATCAAACCCCAATTCCATTGGAAAAACCTTGTAGGAAACCCATCCGGACCCGGAGCTTTTAACAGTCCCATTTGAAAAAGCGCATCACTAATCTCTTGTTCCGAAAATGGTTTGCAAAGCTCATCATTCATATCATCAGAGACAATGGGTTTGACTAACGAAATAATATGTGACGAGTCAATGGAGTCGTCAACAGAATAAAGTTTTTTAAAGAACGAGTTTTTATACCTTTCATTTCCTCCAGATTTTCCGTGAGACCCCCATCATCCTTCCTTAGTACCGCAATATAATTTTTCTTTGCTCTCCATGAAGCCTTTCTCTGAAAATAATTAGTATTACGGTCTCCTCCTCTTATCTTATCCAAACGAGATCTTTGCTTCCATAGCATATCTTCCTTTATAAGAAGCTCATCCATCTCTTGAAGAATTTTCTTCCTTTCTATCACTACAGAATGATCATTCCTACTAAACAACACATTTAGTCTTTTACGAGCCCACTCCAGTTTCTTTGGTGAATAACCAATATGGACCCGACTCCACCCATGAAGAGATTTCATTAATTTGTCTAACTTATTAGCAATATCTTCGAGATCATTAATATTAGACTCTCTATTCTAGCAAGCACTAATCAGGTCATCCAATGCTCCACCTTCCCTCTCCCAATAAGATTCATATTTCAACTGATTAACAAATCTACCCACCTGGTGAGTACCCAATACCCCAACAAAAATGGGACAGTGATCAAACCTGGAGCTTATTATATGAGATACCTTACATCGAGGGAACATTGAAGACCAAAGCGGGCACGCCACCGCATGATCAAGGCGCACCTTAACATTCTTGTTTCCATCTTGCTTACTATTATACGTCCAAGACACGCCATGGTAATCCAAGTCATATAAATTGCAATCAGGCAAAGCTTCACGGAAATTAGCCATTAGTCTAGTAGACCTCTTATGACGAGAGAAATGCTCTTGTTGCCACATAGCTTCATTAAAATTCCCCACCATAAACCAAGCTCCAACACCAAGAGGTTTAATCCATCTCAAGAGATCCCACATAACATACCTTTGACTCGCCTTAGGCTCACCGTAAATGAAGGTGCACCTCCACTTTGTTCCCTCTCCCTTGTCGACGTACAAATCAATAAAGTGGTCACCATATTTGTTCAGCTCACAAGAGTACACCTCATCCCAAAACACAACTAGTCCACCACCTTTACCATGGCCAGAAACAGTAAAAACATTATTCATACTCTTTATTCTTTCTTGTTTCAGATAAAAAGATAATATTGGGTCTGTGCGTCTTT